TTTATCAGCACCTGAAGATTATTCCCCTATATGGAGATTGTTAAGGGTAGGAATCTTAAAAGCATGCAAATGAAAAGACCAGGTATCCATTAATAATGTATTACCTTAATATAATATCATGAACAGAAAATAACCAAAAATAAGGAAAAAGTGAGTACGAAGTGGAAATCTTCAACTTTTGATTTCTGTGATTATTTTAAATATCAATTATTAGTGATATTATTAAATGTTACTGAATATTATTTATCAGTAGTAATGAATTTACTCTACTATTAATAATTATAAGTGTTTAGAACAAGTCTCTAATGAGGACTTTTAATGTTTTTGTTTCATTGCTAGTTTTGGGGGAAAAATGTAGCTACAGAGAGTACCACTCAACCTGTGATAACTGGCATATGAGACTAATCAAAAGTCTTCTAGTTCTTTCTGTAGTAGCAGTAAATATTCACCACCACTTCTCCAAGAATGAATCTACATGACGTTTGCTTTTTCACAGCACCAGTTTTCCATAAAATGTTTCATTTCAATCGACCTTTTACATCAACATTCTTGGTTAACTTGAAGTTCATAAATAAGCTTATTTTATATTCTTTCTTGTCTTGGTCACCAAACTCTAATTTAAGTTATATGTGCAAATTTATATAAAAGAATTAAATCTTTTGCCAAAGTGCTTTAGTTTTAATTTCCAATATAGATTCAGTTCACAAATCACATAAATACTCACAATGAGGTATTCAAAATTGAAATTAGACTAGCAGTATCATCCAACATTTCATATCCTTTTCTGGCAGACACTTTTATTTCCTATTGCTTTAAAGAGAAATCATGGAAAAAATCCATAATGAGTTCTAGAAATTGAAATCAGTGAAAGAGATAAAACCCCATTAATGATTTATTACATGATTTTCCATGGTTTGTTACCTGTAATACATGATTAAATTATACCATTAAGATAGTCTGAACATTACTATTTTGAGAATGTCTAACTTTAAGAAATAGCTTTCTGTTTATACTAAGCATTTTATGTTATTAGTTTTGTGCCAATACACGGAATATTTCATACATAATATTTAATATGTACTTCTAATTAAATAGTTTGAAAATAAAGATTTAAAAATATCTTTATTCTCCCAAAATGACATTAAAATACAAATATGTTTCAATATTTTGAAATAATATGGAGAAATTACATGGAATGGAGATAACTATAGACAAAGAATGCTGCCAGTTTTGGAAATATGAGAAGAGGATAAAGAATTAGCCAACAAGAGATGCTGGGTATAAACTCTTGCTCAAAGGAAATGACAAGCAGGAGTTTGATCATATTTATTCTCAAACTAAAGCCCCACATTTGAAGGCACAGGTATGGAATAGAGACAAAAAATTTGAAGAATACTTGCTTTTACTCCAAGATCAAATATTTCTAAGGATCTTTTATGGAGAAAAAAAGTGCCAGAAAGTTCCCAAGGGAACCACAAGCGAGCAAAGAATGAAAGCAACAAACTGGACACAATGTCTTATTGGGCATTATTGGATTCTGTTGCTAATCTTCTTTCTCTTCCTGTTTCCCAGTTAGTAGAATCTCTGGGATAAAAATTAAATGAGTTTAACCAATCACGATTCTTTCCAGAGGCTGACTAGCCACTATCAAGCCCATGGATCCCTTACAATCGAAGTAGGTAGGAATGTTGGACAATCAGCATTGTCTTCTTTTGGTCTCTGGAGTTTACAACTATGTTTCACTTGTGCCAATACATAATATGATAATAATGAATTAGATTAACAAAGAGACAAAATGATTTATGAAATTCACATTTTAGCATTTTGATTTTTAAAGTTAGCCTATATAAGCTACATGCAAAATTATGCTTCATATTTCTGAGTTGATATGTGCTAGCACTTACATAACCTTCACACAAATATTCTGAAAGACAAAATAAAACCTGAAAAAAACTTCAATTATCTGGAGTTTGTTAGATAAAGAAGGCAATAAAAACAAACAAAATTCTTTCTGCAAAAATTGTATTTTCATTCTAAAGGTCCTCACTGTGAAAATTTCTAATAGAGAATTGTGATACACATGACTCAGTACAAATTTTCAGAAATTTTACTTTTCTGGCAATTTTTAAATTACTCTTCTCAAATCAACAACATAAAATATAAATGTCACCGGGCTCAGTGACTCAGCCTGTAATCCCTCGCCTTTGGGAGGCTGAGGTGAGTGGATTGCCTGAGCCCGCGGGTTCGAGACCCGCCTGGGCAACTTGGCGAGACCTCATCTCTACAATAAATCAAAAACTAGCTGGGCATGGTAGTGCGTGCCTGTAGTTCCAGCTACTTGGAAGGCTGAGGCGGAAGGATCGCCGGAGCCCAGCAGGTCAAGGCTGCGGTGGCCGG